AGACACCTGTAATACTTTCAACAATAAAGATAAATTTAAAAATAAATTAATAAAAATAAAATAAATAAAAAAACAAAAACAGGGATAGTATGAGTCCCATGTCATTTTCCAATCTTGGTTTCAAGTCAAGGCATTCTTGTTGTCTAGATGTCTTCCCTGTCCTCTGAGCCTGGGACCCTACTGGTATTTTTTAGCAAACCCAGAGGCCACCTACAGACCATATTCCTAAAATCTTAAGAATTGTTTCTATAGCTATGTGACAATTATTTTTTAATCTTTAAAAATGTAAAACCATAATAACAGTAAAGAAATAGAACTTTTCATTTTAAACTTACAACTTCTCTGGGAGGAGTCACTGGAGAAACATGTCGCGGAACACTCACTGGGTGTCTAGAAACTTTTCCTTGATTTTTTCCATCTGATCTGAAAGAAAGAATTACTTTTGAGCTAAATGAAGATTAAAATATTTCTACATGACATATTACACATAACTTGCATTTTCCCAAAAACAGAATAATGATGTTGGTAGTGGTGATTATGATGCTCATGATGACAGCTAAATTTGTCCCAACATTTTTAACAGCTTTCACACACTTTTAATCCTTACAGTACTAGACAGTTTTATTAACCCCGTTTCACAATGAAATATACTGAAATTCTAGGAAATTATAAAATTTGGCCCCCAATGCCAATGTTCCCAAACTTTTCTCCTCAAGCCTTCCTAAAAGCCGAGAAGCATACTCTTAGGCTGTATATACAAAACTTGAAACAGTAGCTGTAAAAATTAGGAAGACCAGGAGGAGCAAATGACCTAGCTGAAAAGATACCAGCTGAGTTTCAGACATGCTGAGGCAACAGTGAATCAGGTGGGAAGAGATGCATAGGAGACAGCGATAGCTATGAAACTAAAATTTCAGAGAGGCAGCTTGGGGAATTACATGGTTTGGTCAGTCTGAAGTGTATAAGAAAGTAAAAGAAATAAAGGGTAGGAAGATAAATCTGTTTTAGAATATATTAAAAATTAAAGCTCACATCAGGATATTCTAGGAAACACTCTGTGTAAGAAAAATCAAGCAATGAAGTTAAGCTATTAAGGAGAGAGATGTATATTTTGAAATCATTAACATAATAAAAATTAATTATTAAGTAATTGCACTGTGCCAGTCAATGTGCTATGGGTTTTATTTGTTAATATTTCCTCATTTAATCCTCACATCAACTTTAAGAGACAGGTAGTATTATTATTCTTATTTTAGAACTAAGCCAAGGCTCAGAGTTTTATTTATTATTCCAGTTCATAATTCTAACAAATGACAAAGTGGAACTTAAATTTAGATCTGATTACAAGGTCCATGCTTATCTATGCTACATTCTAATGCCAACATATAAGTGATAGTTGAGAGATAGTTGTACGAGAGTCTAACACATACATTAAATATGTCATTATCTGAATTATGACAATGCGTTCTTCCACCAAAATTTATTTCTTAAAAGCTGATAATTCACAAAATCTGTTTCTAAAACTGATTTGAAGAGCTTCTCCTCTGTGAGAACTGATCCTTAAAATAGACATGGAAGAAAAATTTTCAACATTTACATTTTTAAATCTTTATTCCATATTTTAATCTTTAATTAAGAACTCCAAATCAGAAATTATAGCCCAAACTCCTACTTACCCCACTATCAGAAATCAGTGTCAAGTAAAATGAACTCTAAGAGCCATTTTCAGTAGTATACAGGCTGCTTACCATAATTCTTTCCCCCTCACCACTTTAAGAGGTGGCTGAGCCATCACTATCCTTCTACCCCTGCTAATCATGTCAAAAGAATAGAGAGATAATTTAGAACCCTATTTTTAAAGCAGCCTCTATGATATGACTATCATTATAATTACTTAAATTATATGACTTTAAAAGAAAAAAATCTAAGTACTCATATGTTTGTGATCTCTTCTTTCTGAAGCAGCTTTGCCGTAGTTGATTTCTCTTGAAGAAGACAAAAGCAGCAAATACAATAAGGGGAACAATTAAGAAGAATACTAGAAGTCCATTCCTCAATGCAGTATTATTTTCTAGAGAGAAGAATTTTACATTAATGATCATTAAATTAGAAGTTAACTGGCATTAATTAGAACATAGTAGGTGGTTATCAATGTTTTACATTAATTTTCAGATTGTTCAAAAGTGAAACTGATAAAAATTGAGTACACAGAAGTCTGCTCACACCTCATCCCTACCCACTTCTTTTTGCCTTCTTCAAAATAAGCACTTTTATTAATTTCTTATATTATTTTACAGTATTTCTTCATGCAAATATAAGCAAGAACAAAATATGTTTTTGTTGTTAACCTTTTCTTACATAAAAGGTGGCATACCATAAATACTACTTAGCACATCATTTTATTCAGTTACCTATGTGTCTTCCCAAACCATACAGAGAGGGCCACCTCATTTTCTGTACAACTAACAAACTACATTGCAAGGATGTCCTATAGTTTACTGAACCAGAACCCAACTGATACTTTCATTTTTCTAATATTTTGTTATTTAAAAATGCTATAAAATGCTATAATGAATAACCCTATAACAATGCTACTGTTATAATGGATAATAATAATGTGTGCCGGTATATCTATAGAATAAGTTCCCAAAAGTAGAACTACGTATCAGAGGGTACATACATTACTTTTTTTTGAAGCACTATCAAATTGTCCACCATAAAGGTGATTACAATGTACACTAGCCAGCCTCACCCACAGGGTCAATCTTGTGCATGTTAGCCAACCTGGTAGGTAAAAACTGTATCTTATCCTTTGACTATTCTACCAGACAACTTTCTTTTGCCTTCTCCATTTCTAAAAGCTCTTTATGTATTAGGGATATTAGCTTTGTCTGTGTATGAGTTGAAAGCATTCTCCCCATTTTGTCATTTGTTTTATCATACAATGCTTTTCTCCAAGCATAAGTTTATTATTCTTAGGTAGTTGAATTTATCAATCTTATTTTTTATGCCTTCTGGATTTTAAATCTTATAACTTTTTAAAATACACTAACATTAATTTTATCTGTTCCGTGGTCTTTAGGGAAAGACTATAGTAAATATGAACAAGAATGGTAAGCTGTAAAAATTTTCCTCACAATTGTTAAGTTTTCTAAAGTACCAGAAATTTGTTTAAAGTTGTATGACACTACATGAAACAATATTCAACCCAATTAAAAATGTAAAAAAATTAAAGCAAGCTTGATATATCATTTTGTACCTACAAATAAGTAGAAAAAATTTTGATTAAAGCAGCCAACATTGATAAGGTTATGTTGAAATTGGTACCTTCATACTGTCAGTAGCATTACATAAATTCATTTGGAATTTTTATCAAGAACCATACAAAGGACTATACTCTTCAACCTACTAATCTCATTTCTAGCAATTTATCCTCCAACTGGAAAATATGCATATCAAAAACTTAGAAACAATTTTATTAAACAATGCCACCCCAATAAATTCAATTTAAAAATAAATAAATATGGTAGAATTTAAATTTTAAAAAAATTTAGAAACAACCTAAATGTCAAATAATTACAAAATAGCTAAGTCAAGTTATGGCACATCCACTTGATGGAATGATACACAGCCATTAGTTGACTTCTACTTCTAGTTAAGGTGGAGTAACAGGGGCCAGATTTATCCTGCCAGCTATAACAACCAGAAAACCAGGGAAAATATATAAAGCAACACTTTTCAAGGTGTTAAACATCAGGCAATGAAGAACGGTGATACCTGAGACAGAAAACAAATAAGGTGAGCTTTACAATTGTCCCAGTATGCTGCCTAGTAAAAGTTAACAGATCATGATGAGGAGTGAGAAAACCCAAGCAAAGCTCAGTGATCTCCCTGAGTTGAGGAGATGGAGCTGGTTGTCCCCAAAGCAGCCAGAGTTCACCTGGCAAAGAACCAGAAGGAGAGAGCTGCATAGACAACTTAAAAGCTCTGTAAAAGGTTCCTCTCAAATACCAGTTGAGTACTGATCTATGTATGCATGTAAAGGAAGCCACCTGAAGCCAGAGAAAGAATCACCTGTAAGAATTAGTGAGAACATATCCCACAACTCACACAGGACTGGGAAAAGTGCCTGATCCTACTACTTTCGGTGGAAAATTCCATAATTACTATGGCGTTGAGTAGAATAAACAGAAGGGGTTTTGTTTCAGTAATAGCGCAAATTAGCCTAGGCTAAATGCTACTCTGGTCCTCCCTAATAGAGCTTAAAAGCAACACTCAAAGGGATCAAACATAAATTATGTTCAAATAGCATAAGCAGACTAGAACAAAGGTCATCAATATAAATCCAAAATATCTATTACCCAACATGGCAAAATGCATAGTTTCTGGCATTCAGTAAAAAATCACAAGGCATGCAAAGAAGCAAGAAAATATGATCCAAAATGAGGAGAAAAATCAACCAAAACTAACTAAGAAAACACAAACAATAGAATTAAAAATGAATTAATAGGCCAGGGTTAGATGTTATTATGACTATATTCTATATGTTCAAGAAGCTAGAGTAAAGACTGAACATGTTATGTAGAGACATAAAAGATACAAAAAAAGAAACAAATAGAATTTACAGAAAAAAAAAATACAATGACTAAGATGAAAATTATGCTGGATGGAATTAATGACAGATCAGATACCACAGAATAAGAGTGAACTTGAAAAGTAACAATACAAACTATTCATAATTAAACACAGAGAATAAGCAATAAAATAATCAAGGCAAATAAATGAGAGGGGAAAGAACTTCAAGTTATCAAATACACACGTACTTGGAGTCCCTGAAGGAGAGGAAAGAGGAAAACAGAAAAAAAGTTGCTCAACATCACTAGTCATCAGAGAAATGCAAATCAATACCACAATGAGATACCACCTCACACCTGTCAGAATGTCTATCATAAATAAATCAACAAACAAGTGTTAGTGAAGACGGGAGAAAAGAAAGCCCTTGTGCACTGTTGATGGGAATGCAGACTGGTGCAGCCACTATGGAAAACAATGTGGTGGTACCTCAAAAAATTAAAAATGGAATTGCCCTATGATCCAGTGATTGCACTTCTGGATATATCCAAAGAAACCTGAAACACTAATTCAACAGAATATATGCACCCCATAATTCACTACAACATTATTTACAATAGCCAAGATATGGAAGTAACTCAGGCGCCCATCAGTAAATGAGTGGATAAAAAAACTGTGATACACATATACAGTAGAATACTACTTGGCCATTAAAAAGAATGAAATCTTACCTTTTATGACAACATGGATGGACCTAGAGGGTATTATGCTAAGTGAAATAAGTCAGACAGAGAAAGACAAATACCATATGATTTCCCTTATTTGTGGAATCTAAAGAACAAAATAAACAAACAAAATAGAAACTCTTAGATACAGAGAACGAACTGGCAGTTGTCAGAGGGAAGGGGGGATTGGGAGCTAGGTGAAAAAGGTGAAGGGATTAAGAAGTAAAAATTGGTAGTTACAGAAGAGTCACAGAGCTGTACATTACAAAATAGTCAATAATATCATAACTATGTATTTGGCCAGGTGGGTACCTGAAACATAAAGGGGACCACTCTAAAGTATATGATTTTCTAAACACTATTCTGTACATCTGAAACTAATACAGAATAATATTGAATGTAAACTATCATTGAAAAAGAAAAAGGAAAAGATTCTGGGATTTAGAAGGGTTGGGAGAGAAAAGTTTTTTTACTGAAGGTAATTTAATGTCTGGATGTGCTACATGTGACAAATATGTGCATATAATTCAATAAAGCACCTAATTATTATGTTTTAAATACAGAAAACATTATAAAAAAACAAAATTTTAAGACAAAATGGCCAAAATTTATCCAACTTTGAAGAAAACTATAAAAGCACAAATCAAAAATGTTTAACAAATCCCAAGCATGCCCAGGCACATTATAATCAAATACTAAATATCGGAGATGAAGAGAAAATCTTAGAGGGCAAAAACACACACTGCAAACAGAAGACCCCTCTCCTACAAAAAAGATGGCAGATTTCTCAGGAAAAACAATGTAAGCCAGAAGAAAATGTAGGAACATCTTTGAAGAAGTAACAGGGATAAAACTTCACCCTAGAATTTTTTACCCAGTTATTATTCAAGGCAAAGTACTTTTTCAGGTATACAAGAGCTACAAGAATTTGTCATTGGTAGGCCTGAATTACAAGAAATGTGAAAAGAAGTACTACAAGCAGAAATTAAATGATAGCAGATAGAAATCTGAGTTTACACACACACAAAATGAAGATTATAGAAATGGTAACTATGTGGGTAAATATAAAGACTTTTTCTATTATTTAAATCTCGTCAAAAGATAATCAACTGTTTAAAGCACAAACAGTAACAGTGTATTGTAGGGTTCATAACATATGCAGAAGTACATCATCAACAGCACAAAAGGCAGGGGGAGATAAAGGGAAGCATACTAAAGTGGTATAATGTCACATGAAAAGAAACTGTAATAGAAAAATATCAATATGGTAGATTTAAACCCAAACATATCATAATCAAATTAAATATATTCTGATCAACTCAATCAAAAGGTAGAGATTGGCAAACTAGATAAAAAAGCAAGTACATTTCTAATGTACTGTTTAATCTATAAACAAACATTTCTTTTCTTAAATTTATGGAAACCCCCCCCCACCACTACTTTAAATGAATTTTCATATATCACTGCCTCCAAAATGCTATCACGGGCCAACTGCTTTTAGTTTATCCAAATCAACCGTTTCTCTACCTCTTTGATTGCCTGTGATTTTTGTTCTGTGAGCACTCTTAGCAACATTAATATTTTTGATGGCCTCTTTATGTTTTAAAACTGGCATCCTCTCCTTTGTTGCCTGAGAGATGCTATTTGTCATGCTGAGGTATCAGCATGAAAGGGTTATCAGGGTGAGAATTGAAGTTTTGGTCGACAACTGAGACATTTTTTCTGTGAACAACCTGGTCCAGAACCGAGTTGTTCAAGATGGAGACATTCGAAAATCGAGATTTGGCTGTACATCAAATGGACAGAAAAATCCTAAACGCTAATGCACCTAATAACAGAGCTTCACAATACATAAAGCAAAAACTAATAGAACTGTCAGGAAAAATAGGCAAATTAGCAGTTATAGCCAAGGATTTCAATATTCTCCTCTCAATAATTGGCAGAGTAAGTATACAGAAACCAGTAAGGATATAGAGGACTTAAATATCTGTCAACTAATAAGAACTAATTATTTATAAAACATTCCACACAATTATAGCAGAATACAAATTATTTTCAAAACTTATTACTAAGATAAACCACCTTCCAGGCCATAAAACAAGTGTCCAAAAATATAAAATAATTAAAATCATACAAAGTATATTTTCTGAACACAGTAGAATAAATGAAAAATCAATAACACTAAAATTTCTAGAAAATCCCACAGATACTATTAAGTAAAGTAACATACTTGTAAATAACTCATGAGTCAAAGAAATAAAAGTATATTAGAAGTTATTTTGAGCTCAATAAAAATGAAAGCGCAACATATCAAAATTTGTGGGGTGCAAAAACAGTTCTTAAAGGAAAACTGATAGCACTACAATGCTTATATTAAGAAAAGAAAAAAAGGTCTCAAATCAATGACCTGATTGATCTTCTATCCTAATAAACTAGGAAAGGAACAATGAAAGCCAAAGTAAACAGGCCAGGAGAAAATATTTATAAAGCATTTTCATAAAGGACTTATATGCAGACTAAAGAACTCTCAAAACTCAAGAAGACAAGCAACCTAACTAAAAACTGGACAAACAATTTGAACAGACACATCACCAAAGAAGATAGGTGGATGGCAAATAAACACATGAGATTATGCTCACCATCATTAGTAATTAGAGAAATACAAATTAAAATAACAATGAAATATCACTACATTCCTACTAGAATGGCTAAAATTAAAAAGACTGACCACAGTAAGTGTTGAAGAGGGTGTAGAGAAACTGGAAACCTCGTCTACAGCTGGAGAGAATGTAAATTGGTACAGCTACTTTGGGAAACAGTTTGGCAGTTTCTTAAAAGGCTAAATACAAATCCACTCTATAAGCCAGCCATTCCACCTAGTATTTACCCAAGAAAATGAAAGCATATCTTCTCAGTAGGAAGATATTGGTGAACAAGGAGCTCATTCATAGTCTATCACGGAATAAAAATAAGTAGTATATAAGTAATTGCTATAGTATGAGATAGTGCTTACAGTAACAGGAAAATAGAAAGGGCATATTAATTCAGACTTAGGCAGTCAGGGAAAACCTCCTAGGGGAAATAAGGTATAAACTGAAATCTGAGTAGCAATTAGCAAAGTTCAAACAATGTGAATATAATATGGTATGAAAGCCAAGAAGTAAAAGAGAGTAGTAGCCTATTAGAGGAAATAAAAGAAGTTACAACGTCTTAAGCATAGTGAAATGAGGTTGGAAAAGTGAAGCTAGGGGCAAATCATGCAGGGATTTTAAGCCATGTTAAGGATTTTTGGACTTCATTCTAATAGCAATGCAGAAGCACTGAATTTAAAGGAGGACACTAGCATAATCAAAACAGAATTCTTGAAGGAAAACAGTAAAACTCTGTAATGTAGTGTGAAATGTGGATTAGGAAACGAGATGGGAAAGAGGGAGCCTAGTTAAGGAGCCATTATGTAAATCCAGGCAAGAAATTGAAAGTAATAGGGATGATAAAAATGGAGACATTTGTGAAGAATTTAGGAGGCAGAACCAATATAACTGATGTGAGAAGTGTGCGAGAGGTACAAGAATGCTCAATATCTGACTTAGGCCACTGGGAGATCACACTAATTTTCCTCTATAATACTTGCCATTATATGGAGGTCCACTGTCCACACTTCCTCCGTATCCTTTAGTGTCACAATTTGGGGGAGCCCAGCCATTTTCACAGTGACAATTCTTATTGCTATTACATACCTTCAAAAAAATCAAAATACCATTTTTGTTAATTGTGAATATTGCTCTAAATCATGAAGTCTAGAACAGAATCCAAGAGATAGGACTAAATTCATGCAATTCTATAGATACCCTCTAAGAATAAAAAATTTATTAGGTATCTAAATTCCCCAATGTCTAAAATCTAAAAATCTTGGGAAGTCTCACCTAACCCTTACTGGGATTCGTAATTAATCAGCATTACCTCCATGAACAAACCAAAAGAGAATATGACTTACCCCATGTCCATGACACTTCTTCTTCTGAATGTCAGAGTCATAATTCAGAACAGAAGCATTTACACATTGGAAGTTTCTACAGATCTGAAAAAAATGAAGTAATGAGTAAAGAAAAATTGAACACATTAATAAAACTAGCCAGAAAAAAAAGACTGAGCATAGATAATTTCATTGGTTAGGAAGTCTTTCAAACTTTTAAGGAACAGTTATTCCCATATTATATATTTACAAATGTAGAAAAGTAAAATTAATTAATTGACATATAACTAATTGATCAAAAAAGACTAAGATGACACAAAGGCCAAAAACAATGATAAAATTATAACATATGCTTCCATACAAACACAGATGTAAAAATCCTAAGTAAAATATTCAGATGAAGAAAAGTAAAGAATTTCTCATTTCTGATTTCAGGACACAAGCTTTGAGCCAAAGATTAAACTACCTGGAACAACAAAAAAGAAGCAGAAGAGTTCTTCTTTCCACTTTTTTTGCTCTTAATGTTTAGCCTCTCCCCTAAATAAAAATGTTGAGTAAATATATCAAGAATATAGGTATGAAGTAGTACCACACTGAAAGCCTGATCAAAGTACCAGGGTCCAGTCTTTAGCAAATGCCAGAAAGGCTAACATCCTATTTTATGGTTATACAAAATGTTTGATGTTTGGTGTTTAGTTCCACAGTATGTCAGTATAGGTACACATACCAAGCATTTCTTATCCTTCTTGTACATAAATGTTGTTGACATAGGATAAAAACATAATAAAATGCAAAGTTACAGAACCTTATGATATATCTATCCATATTAGTACTAACCTGGAGTTTAAAGTCAATATTTTTCCAACAAAAAAGGTGTGTGAGGGTTTGAAAGTAAGAATGATACATCTTACATGGGGGAAAAAAGTACACTGTTTTGACTCTTGATGTTGATGGGGGAAATATATTGTGTTTTTCTTGCTATAAAAAAAAAAAGCAAGTAGTATAACGGAAATAAGTAAATAACTGCCAAACTAAACTCATACACACACACACACACACACACGCCACACCACAGCACACCACACCACAAATACAATTTGTGCAATCCAGGAAGATATGAAGAAAAGTAGAAAATATTTTTTTAAGACATTTAAAAACAGCATTAAATAAGATCATAGAAATAGAATGAAATGTTAATCAATTAAACTGTGCCAACAAAAGCCAAAGTCCAACCAAATTGTAAAAATACAAAATGAAAACATATAACATTTATATTATATTAGGATACAAAAAGCTTTCCTAAGCATGACATGAAACCAAGACAAAACAGACAAAATTGAAAGATAGTTTAAAATTTCTTTATGGCAGAGACAAATGAGAAACTATAAAAAAATATTTACAACAGACATACTGACAGTTAACATTCTTTATATATGAGGAGCCCTTAAAAACAATAATAAAATGATAACCCAACAAAAAAAACAGAAAGATGTGAATATGGACTTAACAGAAAAAATATACAGAGCTAATAAAAAGGTGCACAAGAAGAAAAATGAAAACGAAAATAATAATGATGCTATCACCTAATCAGAATGTCAAAAATTAAAGAGATTAATAACACAATGTTAGCAAGAGTGTGGGAGAAAATAAAATACCCTCATATACCCTTATTGAAAGGTAAACTGGCAGTGTCTATCAGATTTTAAATGCATATATCTCTTAATTTTTAAAAAATTGACTAGAAATCTACAGACGTATTCACAAAAGTATGTGAGAGTAAATGTAGAAGAGTGTTCAATGCTACTAAAAAATAAATAAACTAGCCCAGCCAGCGTGGCTCAGCGGTTGAGCATCAACCTATGATCCAAGAGATAGAGGTTCGATTCCCGGTTAGGGTATATGCCCGGGTTGCAGTCTCGATCCCCGGTAGAGGGGCGTGCAGGAGGGAGCTGATCAATGACTCTCTCATCATTGATGTTTCTATCTCTCTCTCCCTCTCCCTTCCTCTCTCTGAAATCAATAAAGACATAATTAAAAATAACAATAGTAAATATACTAGATGATAAAATAAAAATGCGAAAGATCCAAATACGTAACTATCAAACATTATGTTATAAGTGAGAATACACTACCTTCAAATGCACATTTATCAAAAATGAACACACATGGTCAACTCATTAAACATGGATGTTTTAGTCCCAGAAATGAGTAGAGATATTTAAATCCAGCACCAAACCTGAAGCATGCCCAGTTTCCAAAGCAAAGAGTCATGTTCATAGTCAGTAAATCTTTTTGCCTTCTCTTACACAACAAAAGAAAAAGGCATAAGAAGATGTGGTACATATATACAGTGGGATACTACTCAGCCTTAAGATAAAATACTGCCATTTGCGACAACATGGATGACCCTTGAGGATATCATGCTAAGTGAAATAAGTCAGACAGAAAAAGTTGCAAACCATATGATTTCACTCATAGGTGGGATATAAAATTGAAAGCAACAAATGAATAAATAAGTAAAAGAAACAAGCAAAAATGCATAGACACAGACAAGAGTATGGTGGTTACCAGAGGGAAGGGTGGGTTAATGAAGGGTAAAGGGGGTCAAATATATTGTGGCATGGTGATGGAAGATGATTTGACTTTGGGTGGTGGGCACACAATGCAATATGCAGATCATGTATCATAGAAATGTACACTTGAAACCTTTATAATCTTACTAACCAATGTCACCTCAATAAATTTAATTTTCAAAAAAGAAAAAGGCATATTTTGTTGGTTATGATTTTTCAAACCAGCCAATCAGCACTTTTTTTCTGTTACAGCAAGTTTCAGAGAAAAATCTCACAACTTTGGTATTGTCAATTTGGAAGTAATCAAGCATTCCAGTAAACTGTATCACCACTGTCATGAATTCTTCTCACTATAGATTCACTCAGCCTGTGAATCTGTCAACAAACATCTCTGAATGTCAATGTTGTACTATTCTCAGTCAAGCTAACAGAACACTTCCAAAATCAATTCTAAAGAACAGGGTACCAGTTGTCCTTCATTTTTATCATGTAATTTTTTAAAACAATGTAATACAAGCACATGGTTAAAAATCAAATAGTAATAAAAGTGCTCTATGACCCATTTCTATCCAGTATGCCATTCTAGCAGTCTAGACAACCACCCTTCCTTGTGGTAATTCCTTCCCTGTTTTATTTTTTTAAATATATCTCCATTGATTTCAGAGAGGAAGGGAGAAGGAGAGAGAGAGAGAGGCATCAATGATGAGAGTTGTCACTGACTGGCTGCCTCCTGCACGCCTCCAACCAGGGATCGAGCCTACAACCCAGGCATGTGCCCTGACTGGGAACTGAAACTCGACCTCCTGGGTACTAGGTTGATGCTCAACCGCTGAGCTACGCCTGGCCAGGCATTCCCTCCTTATTTTAAATTGGTATCCTATTTCTTGATTTACCTATTTCAGACATCATCAATTAATGTCCTTATGACAGACAAGAATTCCACTTTCTAACACAAACCCAAATGCCCCTCCTTCACCTTCTCAAACTAAATATTGTTTAATATTTATACCATAATATTGGGATATTATCCACTCAGTATATTACAAGCCACTATTACCTGAACAAGTTCATAACTAGGTGAAGGAAGACAGGGGAAGCTGATAATTAGAGATCAAAGTATTATCTTTATTATCAATAAAGCAGTTAACATGACTTAAGTAAACAATGAACTGGGCTTCCTAATTCTGCACCCCAAAATCAAACTTACCTGCCTAGTCACAGGCTGCTCTGGACAACCACAGGCCTCCCCCCACAGAAGCAGAGCCCGCCCTGCTAAATTTACTGCATGGTTGAGAGAGTAGACCAGAATGCACCCTCTCTGCAGGCAGGCAGATCTGAAAAGAGAAGACAGAAGGGACTGAGCCACCCATGCCCAGTGTCTTCTCCCAAACTCATCAACTGCATCAGTCACTTTGCATGCCTCGGAGTGAAGTGAGAGAGAAACGCACTGAGGCTGGGAGTGTTATTTTTCTCCAGCTTTACTGAGATATAACTGACATGTAACACTGTGTAAGTTTAAAGTATACATGTTGATTTGATAAACGTATTTTGTGAAATGAATACCACAGTAGGTTTAGTTAACACCTCTATCACTCCGCATAATTACCACTTCTTTTTTGCAGTGAAAACATTGAAGATCTACTCTGTTAGTACTTTCAACTATATAATATTATTAACCATAATCACCTTGCTGAATATTTGATCCCCAAAAGTATCTTATATCTTAATAGTCTGTACCCTTTGATCAACATCTCCCTATTTCCACCACGCCACCCCTCAGCCCCTGGCAACCACCATTCTACTCTCTGTTTTTTACAAGTTTGGCTTTTTAAATTCCACATATAGGTAAGATCATGAACTATTTGACTTTCTCTGTCTGACTTATTTCACTTAGTATAATGCCTTCAGGGTCCATCAATGTTGTCTCAATGGCAAGATTTCCTTCTTTCTCATGAATAAATAATACTCCACTATATAGATCATTTTAATATCTTGGCTCCTGTAAGTGCTGCAATGCACATAGGAGTGCAGATAACTAGTTAAGATCCTGTTTTCATTTCTTTTGGATATATACCCAGAAGTGGAATTGCTGGATCATATGGTAGATCCATTTTTTAATTATTTAAAGAAATTCCAGACTATTTTCCACAGTGGCTGTACCAATTTACATTCCCACCAACAATTCCCAAGGGTTTCATTTTCTCTACATCCTCAAGAATATTTATCGCTTATCTTTTAAGTGATAGTTTATATAATAGAGATGAGGTGGTATCTCATTGTGGTTTTGATTTGTGCGTCCCTGATGATTAGTGATGTTGAGCATTTTTTCATGTACCTGTTGGCCATTTGTTATCTTCTTTGGAAAAATGTCATTCAAATCCTCTGCCCATTTTTTTTCTTGACCACATAAATCTTTAATGAGGTATAATTACATTAACTGCTGAGATAACTTGCATAGGTATTTAATAAATAAATGATATTAAATCTTAGCCATTTAACACTCAAGTTGTATTTTTGGCATAAATGATTTGT